AAAGGCTGGACTTGGAAGAGAAAGGTCAACTCGAATGCTGGTGAAATCACCTAATATGTTGTGGAGCCTCATTTCTTTTTATCTGACGTCTCAAAATATGTGCGGGTGTGGAACAAGCCATGGAAGCGGTCCTTGACTGCATCCGTCAGCAATGACTCCGTTTGCTTGTGCTTTACAAAATCCTCCAAATTCTCATGACGATTTTGTACGCATAAATATCTCATTTTCTCTTTCCTTCATCATGACTTCGTGTTACAGAAAAACCGTCAAATGTGCTGGGAAACAAATTTTTTGATTATCGAGTGGCCTTACAAGCGGAGCTGTCGTACAAGGGCGACAAATTCGAGCCAAGGATCTTCGTCATATCGAAGTTTCGTTTGTTTTTTCTCACCGGTAAATCGCCATCATCTCTGAAAATCGAGAAGAGTTATCACATTCTCAGTATTAAGTCGATGAACATCTTGAATAGCGATGAGGTTGGTGGAATAATCAATGTCGACAATCACATCAAATGCATATTATAGCTGGCTGTTACTTTCGATGAAAATGGGCATAGAAAGCGATTTGTTATCAAAAGTTCGCAGGCTTCTTCTGGTGCTATGGTCAGGCATGTACTTGCAGCTTTTCTTCGCTACTTTCCAGATATCGGTGAGTTAATCTAGCAGCTTTTTCCATGATCTTAGCAGATACAGGTATAGGCTGGAATTGTTTGTGATTCCAGGCGCACAATTGCGATCCATAGTTGAGCTTGCACCAGAAAGTTATTACGACGAGTTTACGACTATGAGTGGAGATGCTCCTCCTAGAGCATGTCATTCTTTCAGGAGGACATATGCTGCTCTTTGTGACTTCTACGATCAACCATATAGGGACGAAGTTTCTTGGGTAAATCAGTTTGTGTTTGGTTTGAAGTATGTAAATTGTTATTCATTAAGGACGTCGAAAAAATATATGCCGTCAACAGACTCCATTGTCTACGCATAGAGGATTTCTCACATTTGCTGCCAAAGTTGGTCTCGTAATGGCCTTCCGTACGTCAAGATTAATTTCAGGGATTTGTTACCAATCACGGGTGTGCTGCAGTATTCTTCTTACTTTACGGGACTTGCAGCAGATGGTATCAGAATGACATCCGAACTTATAGACGTTATATTGTCAGTGATCAGAAAATCTCGCTACTTACACCACCTACAGCTGAAAAATTGCGCTCTTCCAAGGTAGAAATGTCGTGCGAAAGAAGTTTAGTTCCGGAAATTCTTTCTTTTCAGAGATTTCATCACACTATTTGCTTCGTCTTTGCAACAGAATTTGGCGTTACCTCTGGAGACAATCAATTTTTCGAAAAATGTTCTAGATGACAAAAAAGGTATGTCAGACGTGTTGCTTTCAACTACTTTTCTGGTATTTTTTCTATGATCTGTAAGCCTTTTCATTGTATCGTCCCTTGACGCGATTGTAGCGGGCACGGCCTGCGGATTAGGATGCGAGCTGGTCAAAGTCGATGAACAGTTGATTTTCTTCATCCACATACATTGATAGGAGTGATCTCTCGCTACTGGAACCACGCCGCTTCAAAGACGCAGCGCCTATGCCCCCTAAAATCGTGTGAACAACCGATATCAGAATGAGTCTGGCTGCTAGGGTGTGGTTTCATGCTTGTATTGAAAACAGCATCAGATGGTTATTTTTTGAGAAGGATTTTTCGCAGTGCGGTGATTAAAATATCA